TCTGGTTGAATACGGTTCGGACAATTTCAGCGGGTTTGCAGTGCGCTGAGAAGGCAATCCCACATCCTCGGGGTCATCCCCCCGCATATCTCCCTAGATCGATCGCATCACGTCGCAGCGGCAATGCTGGGCGTGGGGAGGTCGTGTGGGTGAAGTACCCCGGCATCCCAAGGACATTGAAAATTGTAGCGAGAGCACCATGCGATATAATTTCGAAACACTTCCATCGTTTGCCCAAAAAAATAATTTACTGTACATTTGGCGTAGTGCTTATGGCTTTTGTAATCAACAAAATCCAATTTGGCTTCAGAAATATACCTTTCAACCTCCATCTGGATGTGTAGCAAGGGTGAATGAAGAGTCACCACAACCTTGGGCAGTGGGAGAGCAGAGCAGTTGTAAGTCATGTACCATGCAAGATAATACTGGATGAACAGCTGCATTGCTATTCTAGGATCACACACATATGGTACAGAGGTACAACATCGTCCAGCACGGCCCAGAGCACTGGCGGCACACAAGGGATGAGATGGTGCGCATTGCACAGCGCATCACCCAGGCAGGGTGCATGGCACGGCTAATGAGCGATAGCCCCCACAGTCTTCACATGCACCCCCAGGTCTGTTGAATCTGCATTGAGTATTTTGCATTGCCACACTGGGGATCATCTAATGAGTGAATGGCATTTGTGTTATGCTGAGAGAAGGGGGGGGCAGCAGTTGAGCAGTGGAGCGTGCAGAGGGGCAGAGGGGAGCAGGCAGGAGACACGAGTACATTGGGAGGCAATGCACCCGCAGCACCACAACAGAGAGGAGGGGACAACCCCTCTCTCTGCTGCAGGACTCAGCCCTCTCAATGCCCAGCTCCCTCCCTCTCCTGCACCGCATCCTCACCCCTCCTCCTTCCGCCTTCCCTCCCTCCCCCTGACCCTTCCACTCTCCCTTTTTCCCCTCCCCGCTCCCCCTCTCTCCCCCTTTTCCCCCCTACTGCTGCAGGCGCGGGGGCGGGCGGAGCCACTGCTGGATGGGGCCGGCGACCTTCTCCTTCTTGGCCTGCACGCGCTGCAGACGCGCCACGTACTGCTGCCGCTTGGCGCGCAGCCGCGCCAGCTTCTCCTCTATGCGCGCCAGCTTCTCGCGCACCTGCTCCTCCGCCTCCCCCCACTCCCCCTCCTCGTCCTCCCCCTCCTCCTCGTCCTCCCCCGCTTCCCCCTTCCCCCCCGCCCACCCGTTCAGCTGCCCCTCATCGTGACTCATGCTGCGCTGGCACTGCCTCCCCCCGTGCGCGCCGTGCCCCCCGTGCCCCCGCGCCTTCTCCCGCGATCTGCTGCGGTGGGCGGAGCGGGACTCCCTTGGGGGAACCGGCGCGCCCGCCAGGGGCATGTTGAGCGGGGAGAGGGGCGCGGGAGGGGTGGGAATGGGCGGGATGGACCGCGACTGCTGTTAGGGTTGGGGGAGAGGGGCGCAGGGGCGCGGAAGAGGGGGAAGGCGATCGCGGGAAAGGTAATAGGTGCTGAGGTCGGTGAGTGGAACAGCACTTACGAGGAAATTGCGTGCGCGCACAAGAAGACTGCCTTTCCGCCTTTCTTACCGAAGTTCCTTCGCCCGCTGCCGCATTGCTCCGCCGTCCGCTTCCGCCATGCGCGCCACTTCCGCCGCCCGCCGCCTCTCCGCTTTCCGCTTGTGGCCACCCGCTAGGCGGCCATTCCCCTGGAGCGGCGCACCCCGCCGCCTCCCCCCCCGCTCGCCTCGACGGCGACGCTTCGCTGCCCGAGCTCGCGGGATGCTGCGCCAGCGAGTGCGCGAGCGCCGCTTGCGCTAGCATCGGCATGTCCATGTCCATTAAATGCATCTCCGCCATATGCGGCGCGGGACTCAGCGGGGTCGGCGCCGATGCTGTCGGTCCTAATACCGGGCTGACCGCGCCGCTGTCGAGGTGGAAGGGGCTCGCGGGCACGCTGGCTTGCTGCTGTGACGGCAGGCCGAGGCGCGTCTTCTCGCGGCTGCCGTGCGACAGCGACCGCGCGAGCTGCGGCCGCGGCAGCGCCGCTAACTGCGACTCGTCCATCCGCTCGCTCCGGCTGCATTGCTGGCCGTTGGATTCCATCGAGTCGCTGTCGACGGCGAGCGTCGATTGCGGCTTGTGCTTCCCGCGGCCCTGCAGGCTCCGCAGCGCCTTGCTTAAGATGTTCCCTTTGAGCTTCCACGACGGGCTGCGGCTGCCGGCGCCCGACCCGGCGGAAGTGACGCGCGCGGCTGCGCGCTGATCGACGGGCGCGGGGCGCGGGCAGGCGGTGTGGGCGGACGCCATGGCGGAGGAGGCTGAAGGGGCGGAAGAAATAGCGCGCAGCTGGTCGGGTTCGCAGGGGGGAATGTGGCGGGATGTCGGTTCGGCGGAGCCGTCGCTCCCCATGCAGCGGTCGGGGGATTCTGGTGCGCTCTCGCCGTGAAGTAGACACGGATTGGTGTACACGGCCTTATAATGCGTCCACAAAGCTGAACAGTTCTCAGATTATTATCGCAAATGTAGTAGTAATAGTTGTATGCGATGCATACTAGCGGAGCCGGTCACACAAGGAATATCGATGGAACCAGCAGTGATACCGCTACGAACATGGGAGAGAAATGCGATGCATCATATGCAGAAGCCGCATGTGCGACGTGCGATGCTCAAGCTCGTCCTTCCTATAGTAGGCAACAGGAGTTGCGGGATCAAGGCAAGGAACAACCTTCACTAAGTGAAACTTGGAGAAAGACAAGAACAGCCAGAGGCGAAAATGGATTGGTCTTTACGTACAGTGGTGGAAGGGATGCCATGGGATTGCGCACTGGCAAGAGCGGGGGCTGCAACTGCTGCTCGTTGAACTGCACCCAGCAGAAATGGAGGGTGCAGATGAGTCTATTGCGGGAATCGTGCGGTTGATCTTTGAGGCGCGCGGAAATATCCCATCGGGACACACAGGGGGAAGGGGATTTGCTGGCTGTCGTTGCGCCGAGTTCTGGGTGGGCCTCACTCGCTCGACTGCGCAAGGCTTCCGTCCCCTCCCCTCCCCCCCGCTCCTCCATTCAATTCAGCACCAAGACAGAAACTGTCTGGAGCGCCCAGAAATTCACGTGAGCTTTTGAACCGCGCTGAACACCTTGAAATATATTTTCGACCGAGGTGGTTTGGCCTTTTTGAACTCGACGAGTCAACGCACCCAAACCTCCATGGCTTGTGCGCATGGGTCTCCCCCTTCGCTCGGGAAATCCCCCCACCTACCGCTTCCGCGCATGGGGCATGGCCCCACAGCAAGGCCAACAGGCACCCCCGCGCGGCTGGTGCCTGCCAGCGACGAATCACAGCACAACCGTACGGTTGTCTCCCCCATGGGCCATCGGCACGGCATGCCAATGCCACAGCAGCCACTCAGTCCACTCCACGGCGATGTTCGGCTGCCACAGGGGATCGAAGGGAGGGGATGGGATGGAGCATGAAAACGCCAGGCCTCCAGGTTCGACCATGACGAACCAGGCAAAACACTTCGGTCAGTAAAGAAAATTCTGAAAAACATGTCGAACTTGAGCCAAAAACGCGACGCGAACCCCATGCTAGGCTTTAGCCCGCGTCGCGTCCTCCCCCAAATTCCCCCCCATGGCGGATAAACTCCGCCCTAGTATTCAGGGCATGAGAATTGCATTCCCGTGAGTGGGCTCAACCCACGGGGGATGAAAAATGCATTCCCCCTTCCACGATTTTAGTTTTTAAACTTACCCCACACTCTAAAAAACCAGAAAACGCGTACATCGAAATTATACAGCCAAACACACAGAAATAAAATGAACTCAGAAATTTTGCCTAAGGTAAGATCGTCATTTACTACCTTCAAATATTTCTGAAGTGTATAGAATTTTGGGAAAGTGAGCTGCCCAAACAAATCGCAACAGTAAATGTGGCAGGTAGAAGGAAAACTGTTCAGCTCGCGAAGCTTCGTCTCGCGCGGCTGCAGTTTCGTGAGCCCCCATTTCCCGAATCGCCCGTCCGCGCCATTTCCCCCAAACCCTCCGCTTGCGCCTGGACCCTAGACTTCCGAGTCAATGACTGTTGACTCTAAGTTGACTAACCCGAACTATAAACCCTAGCTATGAGTTTCGATCCCTCGCCCCATCCCCTGCTGGATCCCATGTGCTGCCGAACATCGCCGGCACACCACTCATGCCAAAAAAATGAGGCAGCTTGGCCGATTTTGGCTTGCTTGCCTGTCAGTTGCCCTGGGAAGCCCTGGGTTCCAACCAAATTACCATAACCCTTTTTGAATTCAACCCGCGGAACACATACGTACCAGCTTTATTGTTTTTTTGTTAGTTGCAGATAAGCATTGTGTATGGGGAGGATTACGAGGCACAATTACAAGTTTCAAAGTCGTAAATTCGGTCAACCATGACAGTAGACTGTCCAACGAGTTTTTGTTGTCGGTTGAGACCGTGGACAAACACAACTTCAAGCCAACAACCTCGGTCCCCCAGAAAGGCTTTCCATCCCCTCCCGATCGAGGTTGCGTAGAGATTTCACGCTGTTCCGTGAAAAGATGTAGAGGCTATTGAAATACATGCATCTCTTACACGAAGAAAGTAGCAAGCTGGCAACTCCAGCAACCCCATTGCCTCACATTAGCCTCAACCAGGTCCATCACCAGGGCTTTAATGAACTTGAAACGTACAAAATGCATTTGAATAACATTATAATACATACAGTACAAGAATGAAACAAACGAAACAATGCACATGTATATCAATGATGGACGTGAAGGCTGCGCCAGTAGCCGCGAGCCCAGACAAGCTCCAGAAACATGATTCGTATCAATAGGCCACTTATTGACGCCCCTTTTCGCCTGGTCAGCGAAGAGGGCACCATGGCATGTGCAATCATTATCAGCCACACTCCCAACCCTCGCACGGCCTCCATTGGTGCCACTCCCACTATCTGTTGTGATGCTCCAGTTCCATTTGGCGCACCAGTTTTCACATCACCTGCTGCATTTGAACTGCCTCCGTGTCACCGCCCCCCTCACCCCTGCCATCACCGCCTGCACTCCTGTCCGCACTGCAGCTCAGCGCAGCCCGACAATGGCACATGGAGCCAGAGCAGGAGCAGGAGAAGCTGTGCATGTGCGTCAGACTCAAGGCAGGAGGGTCGTTGTCCACAGGGTTGCATGAAGGGCTGGCGGGAGATCCAGTTGCACTGGGGCGCGCCCTGAAGAGCGGCGACTGCAGCACCGATGACATCAACGATCCAGGCCAGAAATCCAATGTCCGGGCCTTTGCAGGAGATTTGAACGCCTCGTCATCTCTCCTCGCTGCCTCTGCCACAGCCGCAGCTGCTGCTGCTCGTGCTGCCAAATCTGCAACTGGCTGGCTGGCATCGTCCATGGATCTCCGCCTGCCTCTCTCACCATCCCCGCTGCGACACGCCTGGATGGTGGCTACTTGGCCCTCATCCAGAGATGCCCGTCTGTGGGCTGACTGAGCCTGCTGTGGCCGCATCAGCTGCGCTGCCTCGTCCCTTGCGACACCCGGCTTTGCCTCCTGCAGCACTCCTGGCTTGCCAAACACGCCGGGCGATGGCGCAGAGCGGCAGGTGGCGTGGTCGGGAGGCGAGATTGGGAGGGTTGCAGGAACGAGAGGAGGCGTGGCGAGGGGCGGGGCGATGGAAGGGTGGAGCGTGGGAGTGCCGTCGTGGCACACCATGTCTGAGACGCATGCCAGCAGCGCACGGTAGAACTGGCGAGCGGAACAGAGGGAGCAGGGAGAGTGCGAGTGACAAACTTAAAAACTAGTGAGGAAGGAGTGCCAGCAGGGCGAGAAAACATGTGATACAGGGAGGCGGGCAGTGGGGAGGGAGACGGTGAAAAGTAGGACTGGGGTGTAGGCTGCTGGGCTAACCTTGTGGTACTCGAGGGTGTCACCCACATCCTTGCGTGCTTCCACCATGAACACCCCCGGCGTCATTTCAAATATCTGCAGCCACGAGAGCAAAAGCACACGGACAATATGCAATGAGGGATGGCGTGATAGCAGCACTCGCCAAGTCAGAGCCTGAGCCTGAGCCTGAGGGGGGAATGACTTCGCAGCAGTACAACAAATGTGCAGTTGTAAGTTTGAACACTGCTCGCAGCAAGGAGTGCATGAAAAATGGCCTGCAGGTGTGAGAAATGGCATTACCTGAATCACCACGGTCAGCTCTCGTCCTTTGTTCCTTGCGGGCCGGCAGAATCGAATCTTGTAGAGCTTGGCGTGCGCATCAGCGTGCAGGGCGGGCGCAAGCGCGAGGAGACGCGAGCGGATGAGAGCAGGTGGCAGGCGGGATGCAAAGCGGGTTTGGCGGAGAACAGGGTCGGCACGGCGGTGGAAGAGCGCTCCCAAGTCCAGCGCGTGTGCGCGCGCTATGAGGTCAAACGCGTTCATCAGCTCCGGACTTTCCCCCGCCGCTGCTGCACCCACTCCACCCTCCTTCATTCCTCCACCTTCTGCCCTCCCCCCATCGCCCCTCTCGCTCCCATGCCCCTCACACCCGGCCCCTCTTCCCCCCTCGCTCCCCCATGCGTGAAGCCTGCAGGAGGAGCAGGAGGGGGAGGGCAGGGTGGGAAGAGGGTAGTCAGCTGCAGCGGCAGCGGCAGAGGGAGCAGCAGAGCAAGGGCTGGTTAACGATGTGCCGTCATTACCGCTGCCGCTGCCGCTGTCGCTGCCGCTGCTGCTGTTGCCGTCACGGCTGATGGAGCAGCTGAGAGCACGCGGCGAGCGCAGGGAGGCACAGGGACCAGCAGAGAAGGCGGACGAGGAGGGGGCAGTACTCGCGTCGGAGGAGGGCGAGGGGAGGGGCGGCGAGGAGGACCGCGGCAGCGACTCCACAGCCGTGATTCGAAGCTCCGCTCCACACTGGGAGTGTGGCGGTTCTGGTTGCGACGACAGTGCGGTTGAGAGCGGTTGTGTGGGAGCGGAGAGGCCGAGCAGGTGGTGGTGGGAGAAGACAGTGTCAATGTCGCATGTGTGCACGGGGGCCTCGGGGCTGGGCTGGGCTGGGATGTACCCCGGCTTGAACCACGCGTGCTGCCTTATGCCCTCCATCGTCAGCCGCTGGTTGAGACAAGTGGGGGGGCAGTACGAAGGACAGGAAAGTACGTGAGTGCGTGGATGAGGGAGTGAGGATGTGAGTGTGTGCGTGTCTGAGAGAGAAAGAGAAGAGAAGGGGACACAAGTCATGGCATCATCCGCAGCACCAAAAAACACCAGGGACGAGAGCACCACAAGAATTGGAATCAAAATCAAAATCAAAATCAGAATCAAAACCAGAATAAAAATCCGAAGCAGAAACTGAATGAGCGAAGCTGTTGAGTCCTCCAAGCGCCACGCGCACATGCGGCGCACCTTGGCGGGGTCGGGCTGCAGGATGGCGGAGATGAGGGCGCGCGCGGAGGGCGAGATGCAGGCGGGGAAGGAGAAGAGCGCGTGGCGGATCTTGCGGTAGAGTGGGCGCAGGTCGCTGTCCTGGAAGGGCGCATAGCCCGCCAGCAGCACGAAGAGAATCACACCGCACGACCACACGTCCGCCAGGCGCCCGTCGTACCCCTTGTCACAGAGCACCTGGTGGGAAGGAGAGGATGAGCAGGAGAGGAGGGGATGAGCAGGAGAGGAGGGGATGAGCAGGAGAGGAGGGGGTGAGCAGGAGAGGAGGGGGTGAGCAGGAGAGGAGGGGGTGAGCAGGAGAGGAGGGGATGAGCAGGAGAGGAGGGGGTGAGCAGGAGAGGAGGGGATGAGCAGGAGAGGAGGGGGTGAGCAGGAGAGGAGGGGGTGAGCAGGAGAGGAGGGGATGAGCAGGAGAGGAGGGGGTGAGCAGGAGAGGAGGGGATGAGCAGGAGAGGAGGGGATGAGCAGGAGAGGAGGGGGTGAGCAGGAGAGGAGGGGATGAGCAGGAGAGGAGGGGGTGAGCAGGAGAGGAGGGGGTGAGCAGGAGAGGAGGGGGTGAGCAGGAGAGGAGGGGGTGAGCAGGAGAGGAGGGGGTGAGCAGGAGAGGAGGGGGTGAGCAGGAGAGAGAGGATAAGGAGAGAGAGGATAAGCAGGGCAGCTGATGAGCAGGTGCGGGTGCGATACACGTGGAGTGGTAAGCGTGGTGGCGAAGAGCACAGGACGTGGCGTACGGCTGAAACGGCTGATGGGGAGTATGAAGAGTGCTTGTGGTGAAACGTCAGAAAATGGAGTAGTGGAGCAAAGGAGTAGTGGAGCACTGAACGACTGGGGCAGAGGGGCGGACCTCGGGGGCGACGTAGTTGGGCGTGCCGCAGGTGGTGTGCAGCAGCCCGTCGCGGTGCTGCTGCTGCGGCAGGGCGCTGAGGCCAAAGTCAGAGACCTTGAGGTTGCCGCGCTCGTCCAACAGCATGTTCTCCGGCTGATGCCAGCCCATGCACGCAGGCACAGGTTGGGATGAGAGGTAGCAGGAGAGTGAGAGGTGAGATAGTGCAGTGAGATGCTCTCCGGCTGATGCCACTCCGCGCCAAGCCACGCACAGGGTTGAGGGAGTCGGGTAGAGGGCGGGGGAGGGAGCATGAGAGCGGTGAACTGTGCAACCCAAGAAGAAGGAATTGAGAGAAGATCAAGAAAGTACGACAGAGTACACGACCAGACGCACCTTGAGGTCGCGGTGGCAGACGCCCTTGGCGTGGCAGTAGTCGACCGCATCCACCAGCTGTTGAAAATACCGCCGCGCCTCGCTTTCCGACAACCGCCCGCGGTGCACCTGAGAAGGAGCACCGCGACGAGGGGGGGGGGAGGGGGATGAGCAGCGGGAAGAAAGGCGTGAGACGAGGAGAGAGGGGAGAGTGGGGAACGAGAAAAGTGGGAGAAGGGAAGGAAGTGGGACGTGGGTAGGAGGAGGAGGAGGAGGAGGAGGAGGAGGAGGAGGAGGAGGAGGAGGAGGAGGAGGAGGAGGAGGAGGAGGAGGAGGAGGAGGAGGAGGAGGAGGAGGGGAGGAGGGAACAAACAAGGGGAAGTTGAGCGTGTTAAGATAGTCTCCCATCAGCACAAGCAGCTTGCAACGGAGCTACGTGACCATCCGGAGTTCAGCACGGCCGCGCGCGACTCACGATGCGGTCGAAGAGCTGCCCACCGGCGGCGAGTTCCAGCACCATATAGATCTTGCTCTGCGACGCCATCACCTGCCGTGCGGGATGCGACACATGCGACGACGACGGGACGACGATGAGCGACGAAAACGAGGGAATGAGGGTCGCATTGGACGGAGGGCGATAGAGCGAAGGTGCAGGGGGGCTGCAAAGATGGACGAACACGAGAAGGCGGATTCGGATTCCGCATCTGATGAGAATGAGGTAACGGAGGGGAATGCGGGGAAAAGCAGCGCGGAGGAGGCGCACCTCGATGAGGCGCACGACGTGCGGGTGGCGCACCATCTTCATCACCGCGATCTCGCGCTTTATCTGCGCCAACCCATTCAGGAGCACCCAGCATGGAAAGAATGTCATTAGTCGGATGGCGGTGGAAGGAAATTGTGCTCGGGGGGAGGGATTACGTTCCACGACCCGAGAGCAAATTCACAGAAACAGCTCTCCCGGCGAGGATTCTAAGCGCGCTTGCAGTCGATGGCGGAGGATGCTAACAGTCGGCGAAACGCCTTCCAGTGGACGGGGGTGTACCTGGTCGGCCATGTTGCGCTGGAGAATCTTCTCCTTCTCCATCACTTTGATTGCGACTTGCTGCAGCGTCTTCACGTCTCTAGCGAGTTTCACTTTAGCGAAGCTGCCCTGGCCTAGAGTGCATCCCAGCTCGTACCGACCAACCAAGCGGGGCTTCGACTTCGAGTGGCTACTAAATTGGCCGCTACCAAAGTGGCCGCTACCGGAGTGGCCGCTACCAGAGTGGCTAACACGAGAAGTGCTACTCGACTGGCTGCGCTGAGTCCTCATAGCGTCTGAATTAGCCGCCTAAACTCGCGTGGATGTCGTTTGCGGTTCGTATGTCCTCACCGAGGCGTGCACGGGAGTAGACACTGGTGGATGAGAACGTGTAGGTAATTCGATCATCCGTACTATGGCATCAGCATGTCTACTTCGAGAAGCACTTATGGGGAGGTGCTATGGTGAGGTGAGGAGACGATTGACGACGAGCCTGCAAATGGACTCCGCTCTGCCGAATTCTTCATGTACATCAATTTCAGCTGATCGCAATCGCATTCTCACCCATCGCAAGTCGCTACAGTTCCCGATGCCTGTGCGACGCCTCCTAGAAACCACAACAACCTGGGGCCGCCAAGCTTCTTGGCATTGGCTGATGCTATGGCGGCCTCCAAGCGAGCCGTGCAAGACGTCATCATTGCTCGAGTCGGCTGGGGTTTTCAACAGCAATGGGCCTTCAAGTACAGTACTGTAGATCCCAAGCGAACCAGGGTGGTGCTGTGGTGGTGGATCAAAGAGGGGATTAGGGGGAAAGAAGGGGGGAGTGGGCGGGCCGACTTCTTTCTTGCCTCGTCGCAGTGGAATGTGCGGCACGGGCTTGTTGGAAACAATGCATCCGTGGCACGACAGGTAGGCTTCATTTGAAGGTGCGACGCGCCAGATAAGCATATGGTTTTCCCAGATCCTGGAAAGTACAGCATTTAGTGCTGCCCGGGCGAATAAAACACGAGGAGATCGTGCTTCGGGCACGAACGAAAATGGCATCTTGGGAAATAAAGCATCTTTTATGGGAATATTCCTCGAGTTCGCCAGCGAAGCAACATCGCAGCAGAGCACTTTTTCACATCCGCCTTCCGCTTTGCAATGACGTCAGGTGGGGCATCAGTTTTGGGGGTCTCCGCATTCTTCTGGCTGGCATCAACAATCCGTGGCCTAGTTCTGCAGGCGCGTCAACTCGGATGGCTACAGCCTCGGGTATGTCCGTGACGAGAAGCTTCATAAATTCCTGATTTAGTAACAGCCGATAAAGACTAAGCTAAACTAGAAGTGTAGACGCTTGTATTTCATTTCCTATAGGCCAAACAGGTTCTATACCAGCTGCACTATAATCGAGGTACGGCAGCCCTCAAATTGGATCATCAGCACCGCGATAGCTAGAAAACTGCAACGAGCCTTAGACTGATGCTTATTTGAGGTCGACAGGCGACTATCCGACAACACGCCGCTCGCCATACGACAACACGTGGGCGGGGCACGAGTTCGTTGGGGGGGTTACTTCATGTTTATCCAATAAATGTTGGCAACGACGCTCAATGGAAAAAAACATTCTATTCGGGCATTTTTTGTTGCGATAACACAACCCGTTGTCGTAATATATCTATATACCTGCCTGTAGCTATATTTGTAGTGTAGTTATTATAAGTAACCCTGTTGGTGGTACACCCATCGTGCTCCTTGTTCCTATTTGTACCTCTCTTTCCATAGTGCAACATCTCTTTGGCCAACCTTCTCGTCACCTCGCTTCCGCTTGTTCCTAGCCTATATTTATCCTAAACATAGGCGAAGTTAATCGCTCGTTACCCGTGCATTGACTGGACAACAGGCGACTGCACCGTGCGAGTCAACGGTCGCCCTACCTGAGCTCGCTTGAGTCTTCATCGGTTCGCGTCAGCGCCATCACAATGAAACACGGCACAACAACTGGAGCTGACATGTACACTACCGGTACCGAAGTGTGGAAAGCACACAACCCGAGCGATTTACAAAGACTGCTTGCAGAGGTACTAAATGATTTGGCAGAAGTGGTACTACCATAATCCCCCGTATATACCACCCCCCGAAATTGAACACCCCCGGGTGGCATATGTGGATCTGTGTGCTGTATAGAGGCGTTCCTTGAGAGAACCCCCTTTTTTCTCGAAATCAATATAACACCCCCCTCTTTTGCTAGGTAGGTGCTTTTCGAGCGATCGGATATTGTTCGCAATGATGTCAACATTTTTCAGAGCGGCCCTTCTTTCTTTCTTTTTTCCCGGGCTGCGCTGGGAGGGAATTGGCTCGTACTGACTACACACGTGCGTGGCCAGTGGGGGTGCGCATGGGTGTAAAGTGTTCAGGCATGTGGGATGAGTTTGAGGCTAGGAGGGCACATGTGTACACACGATGCCCATTTCACTCACGCCATCTTTTTCGACACCGGCGGAGTGAAGCGAGCATCTCATTTCGCGAATGTTCGTTAGTTTCGCCACGAGCAGAAAGGGATTGTAAACAACCACCAATGTTACGAAGATATTTTTTTGGCTACAGTTATGGGTGGATTCGTTTGTTGTACATCGAAAATCATGGGTGCCTGTGGGAGGTCGGAGTTTCCCAACCACTCGTTGTCAAATTTCCGAATCTTCCGGAGCCGCGACTGCTTGTACATGACGTGCGGTTGCCCGTCATCAAACGTGAAATGGGTGGCGTCTCGTTTGGGATGGGCAGATGCCTGCGATTTGACTGAGCATCATGTGTAAGTGAGCTGTTCAGGCATGTTTGCTGCCTGTGTTTTCGGCGGGAC